TGGCTGAAAGCGGGCCCCGTTTTCCGAAAAGGCATCCAAACGAGTGTTTACTAGCCCTACATTGATATGATATGTCAAATATAGTATTGGATAATCATTGGCTTATATTATCTTATGGAAGAACACGCTGGAGATCAGACATCATGACGTCATTGGTCACCCTCACGACAGGGCAACGGCTTCAGGGCAACCCTGACAGGGCTTGAAGCCACACTCACCTCCATGATCGTGCTCGCCTTGGTGGCCGGTGTGCACCACCGAGGTCTTTTCCGCGGACAACAAAGCGTCTTTGTGCTTTCTTTGATGCAAGGGTAGGATAGGATAGGATAGATAGAATAGATAGGATAGCATTGATAGGATCGATAGGATGGATAGGTAGATAATGATAGATAGGTAGATAGGTAGTTAGTTAGTTAGATAGATAAATAGATAGGTATGTATGTCTTTTCCGTTAGTGCGATTTACTTGAATGCCTGAAGTTGGGAAAGAACTGGACACTTCGAACATGACCACTTGCGTGCCACAAGGAAGTTCAATCTGGCCAAGACCTTGGGCTCGTTGGATGAAGATGATGATGATGATGAGGAGGAGGAGGAGGAGATAGGATGAGGATGAGTATGCTGTGATGATGAACCTTTATATAAGCCTATATATATATATATAGAGAGAGAGAACTACTCCCAAACCAAAGCCCCTTCAGCCCCTTCTTCTTTGGACATGGGGATCCTCCGCTTCAGAAAGGGGAGCCCCTGCAGCCGTTCTGGGTGCTGATCTCTCTTTCTTCATCAGTGGGAAAGCTTTCTAGGCGAATGGATGGGTCGTAAACAGAGATGCCCTTTGTTCCTAGTAGCGTCCTTGCATGCTCCTAGTAGTAAGGCCAGGAGCCCCTAGTAAGCGTCCTTGCTCCTAGTAGCGAAGCCAGGAGCGCCTATAGTAGCTTCTAGAAGTTACTAAACAAAGAAAGGTCACGTGCCCGGACCGCGACCCCTGCAGTCACTTTTGTTTGCTACTCTGCCGGCTCCGGAGTCCTCATCATCTCTTCCTCCCTCTCATAACATCTCATAACCACTTCAGGCACCTGACGAGTCTGAGCCAAAGGAGTGAACAGTTCTCCATGGTTTCAAGCTGGAATTTCACAGGTCCAACGCGTCCGTCGCCCCATCGAGCTCGCGAGCGAGCTCGAGTCTGCTTGCTTCCACGTCGCGTGGAACCGCAGCGTCCTTTTTCTGGCCTGGAACCGGCATGCGTCTGGTGGTGTCTAAGCTATTCTGAGAATTCCAACTGCGAATACCACGGTTCTTCTCAAAGTCTCAAAAGTTGCTGGAATCTCAACCAACCGAAAACAGGATGTTTTCCCAGTCCCACCACTTGTAAAAAGGATCTCAAGGAAACCATAGTGAAACAACCAATTGTTTCTGCTTTTCGCCCAAAAGAGCCTCAAATGGATTCGCCTAAGACCGAGACCCAACTCAGCGACGTCTGCAGCATCAACACACTCGTTAATGTGTCCTTCTTCTCAGTGTGTTTCATGTGTTTCAGGCTGGAAACTAAACCATCCTGTTTCATCTTCTCAAAGGGTGCCCTTCTCAATAAGGGCATCCTGGAAATCCTCCTCGATGCCCAGCGGTGGCCTCTGAACGGTCGCGCCGCACAATGGGAGACGCGAAGATTTGGCTCTGCATGGCCATTCCTGGCATGGCGAGTGACCGTCACGGCGCCGGTTCGTCAGTGCAAATGGCCTATGGGGCCTCAAAGTTTGGCAAAGTTCAGCTCACCAGTTCAACGGAGTAAAACAATACGTTCATATGTTCACATCGACATGGCCAGCTAGTCTCAGATTACTGCCAGTTTTTTCTCCGTTGCGGAACAAAGACACAGGACACAAGAGCACACAATGAACAAACCGACACGGATGTTGTGGGTGTGTTTCTGCAGCGCTTGGTGATCAACTCGGCTTGCCTCACAAGCACTTTACTTGAACAAGATTGAAATGGCTGGTTGCAATTCAGCCTTTTAGTCTGCCAATTTCAGGATGCAGGATGGGAATGACTAATAATATGAGACTTCTTATATGAGACTCATGACTGACTCGTTGGTTCGTTCCGTTCCCTTGCTTGCAGCGGGCTGCAGCGACGTCACGTGTGTTCCGGCCCTTGGCCGGGGGAGAAGAAGCTCTGTCGCATCTGGATACCTCCAGGATCCTTCATGGCAATGATCTCCTCCCTCTTTTAGAAGCATCGGACCATCGGTTCGAACCATCGGACTCCCAGCTTCGAACTGATTTCTCGAACGAAGAATCGGACTCCCAGGTCTGGCAGCGATCCGAGTCGGGCCCGATCGCGAAGATGAAGCCCGGAGGAATTGAAGTCGGACGTGAATCGTTGCAACGAACAGTGAAGCCGCCAACTCTGAAACCGCCAACGCTGCCGATGAGCCTCCTTGGGCTCTGAACTCGTGATATGTTCTGTCCGACGCTCTCGGAGCAGCGAACGGGATCTCGGACATGGTCGCTGTGAGAGCAGCAAGTCTGTTGGGACACAGGGGAAGGTTACACGCAAGCACCACACGAGCAGCTGAGCACGAGCACAGACAGGAGAGCTCTGATTCATCAGATTCTGTTTCATGAAAGGCCCACCTTTTGTGCAGTCGTCAATTCCAACCTCAAGCCATTCGTGCGATACCTTCCAACAATTTGACATTCGAAGCACCAGGAGCTACTAGTAGCTTCTTGCTCCTAGTAGTGGCTTGTTCCTAGTAGCAATGCCAGGAGCTACTATAGTAGCTTCTTGCTCCTCCTCATGTTCAGGCGTGGACGTGTGTGGCTTCCCATTGAGCCCATGGCGACGCGCCTTGTGGCTTCCCAAAAATACACCTCTGTCAGCTCTGATCTCCGCAGAATCACACCCTCGGGGAACCTGACCCCCCAACAAATCGGTCGGGAGTTTGGCTTCGGTCTGCACATCGGAAGTCCCAACCGCTTGGAGCGGTGCGGGGACCAGCGCCGCACCGATTCCCCCTCAGGTTCAGTACGACTGGACCCGAGCTGGCTGGCACCGTCTCATCATAGTGCCTCCTTCCTCACCGCAGCGATCGGAGGGTGCAGTGGATCCTATATAGGCATTGGTGACGGCCGCCACTTGCGCGGCACAACCTGCCCACCGCAAGCGGCAGGGAGGCTCTGTCATCCACTCTTGATCGAACAGACTTTGCTGCTTCCACACTTGGGTGCTATCCCACCAAAAAGACAAGCACCCAAAAGCTGAAATTCATGTAATTCAGCTGTGTACTCCATCATGCTCCACTTCCCTCCCCCATCAGCGACCCCATGAACGGCCGTTCGCTCCGCGGACTGTTCAAGCCCGCCTCGCAACGGGATAGACCGCCGAGATCCCCCGGATTTGACAGGCGCTGCTTGGAGTCGGATGGAGCGGCCGGATGGTTCGACGATCGAAGGGGAGTCCAAAACGATCGAAAAAATATGGGAACGACCTGGTTTTGCAGCGTCAAATCCCCATCTCTAGTTAACCAATGGTTCGGGATGAAAACACATGAACAGGACCATGACATATATGTATATATTTAAATATCACCCAAACGCTCATGGACCATCATATGGAGGGGCCTGGGGTCTCAAGACCTCGGGTTTTTTGTGGGCGTCTGCGTCTGGGTAGCTGGAGCGTCTTGGGGAACTTGCGTGGTTGCTTCCAGTTTCACCCATCCGCACAACCAACTTGACGAGTTGATTCATGATCCTAATGTTGTTTTCAATTCATCCACTTCATTCACCAAGCAAACTCAGGTCAATGAACTGTGGGTCTGTATCCCTCTGAGTGTGCCCATCGCCATAGATGAAGATACTCCTGACTTGGTGCTTCAAGATGTTTTCTAAGAATTCAAACAAATCTGAGTTGACGTGGATTCAGTATGGTTAAATCATCCCAAGGAAAGGTTGAACAATTGACATATTGGGGGTAGTAGCGATGCCCTTGTTACGTCATAACTTCTTGCTCCGTTCGTAGATCTAGGCCAGGAGCCGTCAATTGTGTAGCTCTTCTTTCAGGTCTCGACACCTCGACCGCAACCCCCAAGCCATTCCGATGTTGAGACCGTTCGTTCTGGGAAACGAGACGTTCGTGTACCCCCCAGCCAGTGCCAGTCTAATGTCGGGGCCCCCCTATTTGGTGGTTGATCAATATTCTTTCATCCTGGAATGGCCATTCATCGCGGAAAAATCGGAAAAAAGATATCTTTCGCGGATCTTTCGCGGCCTCATCGCGAAGCATGGTCCTACAACCATGTCTAGCTAACATGAGCCGGAACATGTCATAGTATCACAAAATAGGGAGAGACATCTTGCAGCATGACCCCAGTAGATGGTTGAATGTTTCCACAGCTACTCAGGGTCACTTGCAGCATCTGTGCGACAATTGTGACAAATAGAGTCAGGCACAACTCAACCCAATCCTCGTGCCAGCTACCAACACAGGGTGATGCAACTTGGGGAATGTTGGGGGGCCTCAAGCTGGGAACCTAGACTTTAGCGGCACATTCGCGAAGCTTTCGCGGATCTTTCGCAAAATTTCACCGGTGCTTTCCCCGGGAAGCCGTAACATTTGCAAACATCTGCACAGCCCGTCAGAGAAGCTGTAGGTCGTTGCCTCACTATCAGGGCTGTGCCTACCCAGATTACTAGTCTGTGACAGTGGGGACAGGAATCGGAGAATCCGTTACGCACTGCCAGGGCTGGGCACGGAAATGTTGAGGCTTCAGTTCGTTAGTCTGTGACATATGGCGACACTTCCGCCCACTGGCTCTGCCGGAGGATTGCCTTGCGTTTCTATTCTTTGTCAGTCCGGTAGAAAGGAAAACAATGAAATGGATGACCTTAGATATAAATCTTTCGCGGAAAAAACAGATACTTTCGCGAACCTCATCGCAAATCTTTCTCGGATGGTTCTAACAACATCTGAAAGGCTGTTTTATATAAAACTCCTTATACACGGGGTTTTCGATCAACTCCCATTTCATCCGATTTCAATACACACCACCTAGAAACCACCCAGAAAGTCTCAGAAAGTCTCTGCAGTGAACTCCACCAATGCCGCTGGTCCAGTTCGCCCTTCTTTTGCACAGCCCACGTCACGATCCGCTGGTCGACACCTGTGGGAGTCACGACGCCGGAAAGGACGGGAGTCGGAGTCGGAATCCAAGGGGGACGATGAATCCAAGCAGAGACCACATTTGTCCGAGCCCAACCAAGCCAATCAAGCCAATCCCGACTCAGGTCAACTCCTTCGGAAGTAGAAGATCAGGTTTTACTGAGTCTTTGGACTTGCAGGGAATTAGAATCAGAATAGATGGCTTAGATCCCAGTCCATAAATGAAGTGCGAGCCTAGTCAATGGCACGGTCACTCCGGTCACTCCGGTCAATCCCAGTCCCTAGGCCCAGTGAACGACTGTTACAGTGAACGACTGGACGCCCCGCCCCTGTCGCCATTTCATGACGGATCAAAACCGAGACACCCTGGTTGACCACCGAGAAAGAATAGCTAAGACTACTGTAAGACATAGTCAAGCTACCCTGGGCCATGGGGGTTTGCCCTACAGCCATAACCAATCCCCTAATATCCCAAATAGATCCAAAATGATTGCAAATAGTAAATTGACATGCTTACTCTGCTTTTCCATCCAGTAGCCACCCTTTCAGTGGTGCTGGTGTAAGTCCCAAATAGCTTCGTTCTGCTTCGTTTGCTCAGTCGCTGGATTCTACCAAGTTCCCATCTGATCGCTTCGTTTCTTCCACGCGCCTCGCACTCGCCTCAGCGAAAGAGGCTCCCTAATCCTGAGAGGATGCCCATGTCCGGCAGCCAGTCCATGATTCCCGACCTCGGTCGAAGCCAACGAAGCCAACGAGAGGAGCCGTCCATGTCCAGACGGTCCCCGCGATGTCGCGGGCGGGTTCAGCAAGACGCGTATCACAAGCAGGAGCAGGGCCCGAGTTCGGGGCCGGTAGGACGTCCGCAATGAAAAGTCCTGCATGGATTTTTGGGGCCTGTCATTGCACCAGGAGACCAGTTTTTTGTCCAACCGAGACGATCAGTCGTTCGCTACATGGTGGACCAGCACAGGCAATGAACAAGCCCCAATATGCTTAGATGCCCTCAAAGTACTATTGGATAGAATCTCGAGAACTGCTTTGATAATTCTTGAAGTCATGTTCGATAAAATACACACAATATTCCAGTTCCTATGCAACCCAAGAAACACATGTGTGTTCATGTGTCTGCATCTGTTCTTTAATGGCTTGTGTATCTGTTCGGTGCATTTTGCTGCTGGCTTCGACCATATGGCATACTATGCAAAGCAAACAAATAGCACATTATGAATTCTTTATGATTATTTTTGAAACATGTCGTCATATTGGATATGAATGGACTGCATCCTCCGTCATCCTCCATCTCCCCTCCGGTCCGGTGAAGCGATCGGACACGGTATACCAGGTCGACCCCCAAATCCAGTACGAAATGATGTTGGATTCAGCTTAAGAAGTCTGGAGTTGATCATCCGTGTCTCTGCTCGAAACAAGTCCCGCCACCAAGTCCCGCCACTCCTCCGAAAACAGCGGCGGGACCCGCGCGTGTTCGCCACCGCTTCGGTGGGAGAGAGAACCATGCCTACACACTCCATGTATGTGCATATGCCGAAGGCCAGGCCTACATCATCCACACCCCAATCGATCTGCCAGTGTCGCCAGTTTCGGCCAATGAGGCCCTCTCCCCGTGCGAGCCACGAACATCCGAGTTGCAAGACGCTCCCGCTCGGCTGCTCGGTCGTGTGGTTGCTCGGCTGCTCGGTCGGCTCCGCCCCGTCCGTGCGGCGCCAGCACCTCGCGGCCATTCTCGCGGCGCTTTTCGAAGCGGGGAGCGGAAGACTCGGCATTCCACGCATGGAAGGATCCATCTACCACACCCAAACCATCCAGGTGGCGTATTTCGATGACATGAAAACCACCCAGTACCACCACCAGTTTGGTAACCAGTGGTTCCAAATTACTAAAACCATGAACCAAACGAAACTCCGGTTCTGTATACGACTGGGATCCACTCATGCGATCAAAATCTTGTGGCCCTCCGGATTCACTCCAGCCGTGTGGAGCCTGTTCCGGGCGACTGGAAAGTTCGGCCGCTGAAGGTCGACATTTTGGGCGGACAAGAACCACGTCTGGTCCGCCGGAATTCCATGTGATTCGTGTCTGAAGATGAGGACGCTTACTACACGGAGCATTTCGGGCATCGCTGCTAGCATTCGGACGCTACGAATGGAGCTGCTGGCCTTACTACTAGGAGCAATGTTCGCTACTAGTAGCTATAGAAGCTATCTGACAAGCATTTGCAAGCTGCGTTGTGGGTGTGGCACTTGCTCCACCGTCGCAGAAATTCCGGCGACGCTTCAGCCTTCAATATGCGCACCATGGTTCCCAACAATTATATAGTAAAGGATCTGGTCTGGTGATCACTCCGCGCCTGGTGCTGGTGGCACCACTCGGACTGTTTGCCTGGATGGTGCCGTGGCCAGTGCCCTCAGCCCAGGAGAGGCTCCAGTCCTGTGAGGCCTTCGACGTGAACGGCGTCGCCGTCGGCGACGGCGGCGCCATCAGGTTTCAGCGAGTGATCGGTGCCTGTTCCCGACCGGAGGGTGGGTATCCCCTTAGGGCCATTTATGGGACGACCATATGTGGTCTTGTCCGGAACCAAGGAAAATCAAGGAAGGCAATTGAAGTGGTTTGCCGAAACCCACGTTTTTTGATGGCTTCACCCACCAAAGAAGAACAGTTCGTGACCCGAGCGTGTCCAGGTACCGTTTCGATCCTTCGGGTCTTGCGACTCGTGGTTTGCCATCGCCTGGGCGAAACACTTCAATCAGACCGGGACATGTAGGGCCGGGGCTTGGGCCAATCTTGCGGGGGTTGCACCCGTTGTGACCGAGTGATGGTCAGAAGGTAATTGAACTTGTTCAGACTGAGGAAGCTAGCTTCCTCCCACTCTCCGCCTGATCAAAGCCATCTTCCATCCGCAGCTCGCAACGTCCTCACGGTTTCAACGGCAAGAAAGGCCGCAAAGGTGCTCATGGAAGCTAAAGTTCATGTTGTCTACAGGCTCAAGCCAAGGGTGAGACACATTGAAGAGACACATTGGACAGCACGGGTTCTTGCCAAAAGAAACCGTATGCATGTGAACACAGAAAGTGTCCAAGTAGCCGGTAGCCCAAAGTGCGGGTGTAGTCAGTGCGCTGCCCTTTATATATATTTCAATTCACAACATTTAATTTGCAGTGACCTCAAACACCATTCCCTTGCATCCCCAAATGCAGTTTTACTTGCATACAATTTCCAACCACAAGCGAACGCAAGCTTCAAAAGGAAACATAGCAGCCGTAGCTTCTTCTTGCCCTTTTTTAGAGCAACAGTCGAAGTTTGGAAGTTTCCATGAATTGATGCCTCGGCAACACAAAGCTGTCTGCCCTACCCCGACAAGTTCATCCGTGACCATAGCAACTTCTCAGTAATTACACATGTTTATAGCTTCGAATTGGTTCCGATCGATATAATATAGTTTGGGCCCTCCCTGTCTGAATCAACCAGTATCATTATACGACTCTTTTCGGATGTGGAAAAGGTATCGAAGCAAGAACTCATTGGTAGCACCCAACAAACTAACTTGGAGCATCTCTATACTCTTTAACTTTGGACAAGGCATGAGGCAAATCCATCAGTGCATTCCTTGTTCTATTCTTGTACAAGTGTGCCCGTATTCACGCAATCTGTCTAGGTCGACATGTATGTTGTCACATTTAACTACCTCTTGTGCGCACAACTAACATCGACACAGCAGGCACTCACCCACAAATAAAGCTTGGTGGTCAGCGGTCTCCCTGTCGTTTGGTTGTCAGCGGTCTCCGGAAGCATTTGCTGTACAATCAATGTGATTCTGAAGTGCCTGTCTTTACCCGGAGTGACTAGGCACCAAAAATGGGCATGGACATACATGGACCCGCCTAGGGGCCCCAGTGACCAGCCGAATCGTATCATGTGCAACCAATACTTCTTGCATCAGGGTCTTGCATCAGGTGCTTTTCGGGCCAACCCGGTACAAGGAAGCTCCTAGTAGCAAACATTGCTCCGTTCGTCGCAAGGCCAGGAGCCCCTAGTACAAAGGCGTCCGATCGCTCCGATCGAGTCGCGATGCCAGGAGCCCCGATGGTAGCGAACATTGTTCCTCTTGATGGCAGGGTGGGGATGCAGAAATTTCATCCATCGACCTCACTCTGGCACCCGCTCGACCGAACCGCCCAGGAACTGCCGCCGCTCGACCGAACACCGCGTTCTCCTGCAGCAAAGGTCAGGCCATGGCATTGCTGTGCCGTGAAGAGCATGCAGGCATCTTTGCCTCGGCGAAGGACTCCCAACAGGCAAAATTAAATCAGACCCAAAAAGGTTGGAAAACACATAAAACCTATACCTGGATCTTCCAACTGTGACACATGTCTGCCTTTTCGTCCATCAAACCAGCCTTAAAGGTGGAAACTTTGCATAGTTGGAAGATCCAGGTATACCTGGACCCTCCAACAGGTCTCCGAAATGATGGCTTTTGCAGACTTACGAGTCGCAGGTGGTGACCTGTTGGAGGGTGCTGGTATATGCTTGTATTAGGTTGTGTTCATTTGGTCTGCCTTGCAACAACTGAAGATGGTAAACATCTGATGCTCTCAGAACTTGCCTTCGGACAGTGAGCGCGCCGGAAAGCGGCTAGGCGCTAGGCAGCTAGGTTAGAGGCAAGTTCTGTATCTGGACCCTCCAACAGACAGGTCTCCGACATGGTGCTGGTGACCTGTTGGAGGGTGCAGGTACTCTCTGAAACTGAGAAAGACTCTCAAACCAGCCAAGATAATGCCAAGAGACAACTCTTGAGTGTCACTGTGCCTTCGTGGCCAAAGGTGTCGTACTCCTTCCTTGATATGAAGCGGTGAGAATGCAGCGTTGTAATGTTTCTAGGATTCCAACCAGGAAGTGGTTTTAGATGGATTTAGTGGTTTGGAATCCCGAACCACCATGGTTTGACTATAGGATTTGGGGACTACAAAACCCGGTTGCCACCATTGTTGGGTATCCAACGGAAGGCGAACCAGTAGTTCCCTCGCCTCGCCTTGCATCGGGTTCTTCTTTGTGTGAGTATGAGAGTGGCTGCCACTCCCTGGAATCGTCGCGGAAGTGGACAAAAAACATCAAAAAAAAACATGGATTTGTACCTCAAAATGATCATCCAACTTGGCCCTGGCACTGGCTCCTGGCCCATGATCATTCCAGGGCAGTGTAAGAAAGCATGTCAGAAATCCGTTTGAACCACTCTTGTTCCAAGGAGACCGCCGTTCTGGAGAAGGAGACCGTTCTGGAGAACGCTTCCGTGGTCGCTCCGTTGAGATTCCCGATTGGCGACAGAAGCAACAAGAACTTCTTCCTGTTCCTACTCTGTTAGCTATCTTCAAGACTTGGGGTACCAAACATCCATTCTACACAGAATCAGCAGGCAACTCACTTCTATTTAGAGTGCTTTCAGTGTTGTTTCTAAAAGACCATACCAGATGTCTGCCACAGTTGATGGCCCCAAAAACATGAACATTACAATGGAATGTCCATTTGAGGAACAGATCGCATGTTTGTTTGCTTCAACATGAGCAACTTATGTTTCATTGAATGCGAATTATTCAGCTCCGCCCAATGGGGTCAGCAATCAAAGCAACTTGGATCTCGGTATTCCCAAAGCAACTTGGTACATCACTGCCGTTTTGTATCTACTCCGCCTTGAAGACTAACGTGGACCCTGAAAAAGACTAACGTGGGCAGAGGAAAACCATGTTCCAAGGGGTGCCATACTGTTCTATAGGCTTACACTCCCTGGAATCGTTGCGTGGATGCCATGGCAACTGGAGGATGGGTCAAAAAACCATTTTGGGACGGGTACAGCGGCGTTCCAAAAGGGTCCAGTTGGAGGCGAAGTTGGCCGCTGATCTCTCCCGCAACGTGATTCACGTCATGTTGGCCGCTGTGTGGCTGCGTTTTAACCCAACGAATACGATGTCTTCATGAGACAAATCCTGCATGGGGGAAGAAGCAATGGCAGGTAACTGTATGCCTTCAAGACTGTATAGACATGTAGGCACTAGAACTGCTTTTTGAACCTCTGGACACTCTGAAGACTAGCGGGCAAAGAATGGCCTGTTCTCCCTATCACTTTTTTTAGCCCGAGGCACCCTTCCACATCAAGGCAGGATCCAGGACCCACTTCCTGGGGACCAGGAACTCGCGTTTCAGCGCTGATATGACTGGGATCGTTTCAGCGCGCCCCTCGGCTTCGTCAAAATCGAATTTTCCTTGTAGAGTTCGCAAGACTGACAACTCACCCGAAGCAGGCGAGTTAAAGTGCAAATGGTTTGACCATTTTTGCAAAAGTACTTTGATCACATATGATCGAACCACATATTTAGATCACATAATACCTGGAGCATCCAATACTTGTCCTGGCTGAAGATCCCAAGTATACTAGTCCATTGGACATCCATTGGATGATCCTGGTAGGTGTTCCATATAGAAAAAAGGGGTGCTACCTTGCAGCGCTTCGCGGGCCCGGAAAAGAACAATCAAAAAAAACCTGAACATTTGAATCATCAACTCCACCTTCCCAGGGAAACCACATTTTGGAGTCCCCAGTATGTCTCATGAACCAGTGACCATCCTCTTGAATTTTTTCCGAGCCGACCAGAGGATCCAGTTTGGAAGATCTGCCAGCGATCGACCTTCAAACGGCCCAGCCTTCCCACCCAAAGGGCCCATCGACCAAATGGTCAAAAAACGTGTTCACCACTCCTCGAAAGGCCCCTCCATGGCCAACAAGGGTTTGAGCACCTCCATCGCAAGGTCAGCACTGTGACGAGGACCCTCCGATGTTCGAAATTCTGCCGACCTCTGACACTGGTGGCCAGAACCTGGTTGCCATAGCCAGAATCCCCATTTCAGGGCCTTGTTCAGGGCCTGGTTCTGGCAGCTGGTCATTTCAGGAACTCGGCCTTTTGTGAAAAACCACAACCAAATGAACCCGCCTTTGCAAAAAACATCAATTGAATTGTTGGGAGACCCTTGGGAGCAAAGATCACCTCAGCAAACCGAGTCGTGGTGTCTCTTTTGCGACCTGAACATGGCGACGTAAAACAGCCGGGACCCGAGTTCTGATTTTTGTTGGTGTTCAATCCTTGTGATTTCGTGGGTCCATGCTTGCATCGACCAGGTGAGCGAGGGTCTTGGGGAAGTGCAGAGTCTTTTCCTACTGGAGAAGAAAAACAAAATTTTACAAATGAAGATGGTGGGACCATGGAACATATAGAGATGTGTTGAGTAACTTACATGTGTGTGTGTGACTTGTTCGTGAATTATCAAATCAATCACAGAAAGCGAGCAAATGACGTACATTTTGATTTTTGGTTTTGCAATCACTTGCAGCCGCTTGCTCAGGCAGCCACTTGGCAGCCACTTGTCACTCAATCAAGCAAGTAAACTTCAACACTGTACTTTGAGTTCATTCTTTATGTAAAAACTGTAAGATTTCTTCGTCGCTAGCTCTGCAGAAGTTTGGAATTTCTCGGAAAAGTCTTGGATTATCTCATGATTTCACCGCGCGCAGCTCTGGAGAAAACAGGACTTTGATTGCAGAACAGCATTGCAGAAATCTTGGTTTTCTTCAGAACTGCGTGCGGAGAAATCACGATATTCTCCGGACAGAAGTAGCAGTCACTTGCAGCCACTTGGCAGCCACTTGCAAGTGGCTGCAAAATTGAAATTCAACATGCGCACGTTCTGCGAGCTCAATGATCAACCGAAATGGATTCATGTTCGCCTTCAAATTTCTAGATCCATAACTACATCAACATCCATGGTGGCATCTCCCTACAACTCCAAGCACCTTCTAGTAAGTTGAGACCAGTCTTGTGGGCGCCAATAGATCCATGTTATACCTTCGGGTATAGGAGGTACGGTACGACTGGAGCCCGCCTGGGTATCCATGGGGTCCTTGTTGTTCGGTGCTTTCGAAGACGTTTGATTACTCGATGTCAATATGTCTGCTAGTGAGGCTTGTCTGGCGTATCTCCTTCCCCACCTCTTGTTCACGCTTGGGGTCCCTCAGCCTTCGCTATGCCTTCGCTCAGGCCTTCACTGGTGTCGGCATCTAGTGCTGTGCGGGAAGCCACCAGTCTGCAAGTAATGACTCAATCTCAAGACGCGTCTTCCCATTGATCCCACTTCAGGTATATGTGCCTGAATTCTGGGCAGCTTGCTGCTCTTGCACCTGTCCACGGTCACCCGCTCATCTCTTGCCGGCGCTCAGATCTCCAGCATCCCAGTTTTTGGTACTGGTCGCCATGAAGAGGCTGCTGCTGTTGAGCTCAGTCTTGACTGTGGCGCGGGACATCAATTGCCACAATGGACCACCAAAGTCACCACTGAGTTCAGTTCGAAGTTCCTTAATTTGTTCCTTTTCATGTGGCCGTGTCCTCCCTTCATGGTGCCGCAGTCCAGTCGTCCTCCCATCAATGCCCCGAAAATCGAGGGCGCCCACTCAAAGAACACTCCCATTCAGAATTTGGAATGCAACGCTGCACTGCACTCACCAGTCGGTCGGAAGCACTGTCCACACTTGTCCTCCTCCCAATTGGCTCATGTAGGCACCGTCCAGCCATCCGAGGCTGCTTCGACAAGGCCATCAATCTTGGCGTGCTTCCATCCATCATGACGCACCAGCATGTCCGGCACTTTGGGCTATGAGGGTCCTGGGCTCTGCGGGGAAACTGAAGAGTTGTGGCGTCATTCCCTACCGGATTTTTGTTGTTTCGTCCTCCCAGCCAGGTTAATTTAGGCCCTATAGCATGGTGAGCTGCCGTCGGTTCATGTTAAAAACTGGATCTTTTTGTTCGATCTGGTTGCTCCCAGCAAGCTGCCTTTGGGTCCTTGGCATGCGGGTAAATTCTCCTTACCGGATCTTTTTGTTGAGGTTTCATCCACAATCCACACCAACGCACGCAAGATCATTGCCAGTCCTGCAAGATTCCACGTCCGCAACGCGGTGGCCTCCATGTTCTTTTGCCTCCTTACGCCCAGGCGCTTCAAGTATAGCGTTGAAAGAATTGACTCTGCAATGCCTTCATTGCCCCATCCACCAAATCAAAGCAATGCGGCCAATCTTTTGAGGTTCCTGTAGGTCTTTTCGTCTACAGATGGCCTGGGTTTCTCGATGCGGCTACGCTCTCTCCTTCCTGCGACAACAACTCTGCTTTGCTGACGCCCACGCGATGATGGATCAGGAAATGAAGACGAAGACCCCTGTGACTGATATCGCTCGCGTGGCAGAAGCGTAGGAGGCATCCGCAAGAATTTCCAGTCTGGATGTTGAGGCCCTCTGATGGCATTGCTCTTGTGCCCCAAACGTTTCCGGGCTTTTGGTGCTCCTTGACATACTCCAATCGATGATGCTCTGCGCACGCTAAGTACTCCAGAGCCTCCTTGGCCCCCTTGACCGGCGATGTGTCAACCGGCTATAAGCAGTCCAGTCTCGCATATGATGTCACCAACCGCTGCAACTCTTCCACCAGCATCTGACACTGCTTGAGCACGTTGACGTCCATCTGCTCGTCCGCCTTGTCCTCCTCAACCTCATGCTTCTGCAACAATTCGCGGGAGTCACTTTAATGATCTCACCATTGCCTTGTTTGGATGTCCATTGGTCTTGCATCTGCCCATTCCTCCTTGGTGGGTGCCCTTCTTAAGCAATGGGTTGCACCGCTGTCCAACAAATTGTTGACCTGGTTTCTAACCCGGTTCACAGTCATAGACCGACGGGTCCGCATCTGCAGTCGTTCTTGCACTTGTCCTTAAATTTGGGAGCCCTCACCGATTTCAACAATGAGGTTACCTCTGACATCAGCCCTCCTTCCATGCCACCACTCCCCCAGCGCCATCCTGTGGGACTGTGGTTGTTGATGACGCGGTCGTTGTAGTCACCTGAGTCTCCTTTGGCTTCGTCGATGAGGTTTGTCTGGTTGGGTTCTTCTTGCTTGGAGGTCCTCAACCCCTGCCCATGCGTTTTGGAACAGGCATCTTTCACCTCGCGATCATCCTCCAGGTGTGCACCATTTCCTGCATGGTGTCTGGGGGTATTGATGAAGTTTGCCCATTCAGTTGTTTCACTTTTAGCTCTGTATGTTCATTCTTCTCCATGGCAGTTGTTTTCGTTTCTGCCTGCAAGCGGGCTTTGATATCCAGATTTTTCCGCCTCCAAGTTTGTATTCTGTGCTGATTTCCAACACTGGAAGCGTCACATCAAGCTCACCAGCACGGACCACCTCACGAGAGCAAGAACGAAGTTTCTCTATGGCATCGCTTGCCGGTGCGGCCATTGTGGCCAGCTTAGGAAGATGTTTCGATGTTTCTTCCTTTGGTGGTCATCCTTCTGGCACTTGGGTACCACCTGGTGTTGTCCTTCTCTTTGCCACAGAGAGGACTGGCGTTGTTGAAGTCCGCGGGTTCTCCATCGAAATCGGTGTTGACATCTCCTGTTTCATGCCCCAACAAATGGGGTCTTACCACCAACCCTGATTGGGCTCCAGCGTTGGGCTCATAACCTGTGGAAACATACTTTGAATCCATTTGAATCATATCCATGTGGAGTTCCGTGAACAAAAATCCATGTCCGATGCCATCATGTTCTTTCGCTCAGCACCACCCTGCCTTGTCCACGATCTCCGCACGAGCCTCCGCTTCCAAAGCCTCACGGATCACCTGGCGCCGCTCGCTCGACCGGCCACGGATCGAAGACGGGTCGATGCGTTCGCCGGTTTAGAACAGGTTGAAGAACCCGAACTAGACCAGCCCAGTTGCGTACCCTAGGTGACGGGTCCTAGTCTGTTCAGGTCACTTAACCTACCTCTCTTGGTGTTCACCAACGATTTTGGGGAACTCACCGATGCTCCTGCCGGTCACCCATGAGCAGGGTCGCAAGGGGTTTCAAACGGTCACCGGTCGCGCGCCTGGGGCGACTTGCAGGTGGCTGACGCGTTGATCACATGCACCATGACCTGGTGCATGTGCTTGTGCGTGAAAGCAAAACAAGAAGACTTATATGATAAAGAAGAACCTACTAGCGATGGCCTCCAACCTACTAGCGATGGCCTCCAACTCCAACCTACTAGCGATGGCCTGCAACCTACATATATATATATATGTAATATATACTAAAGCAAAGGCCTCAAACTCCAACCTACTAGCGATGGCCTGCAACCTACTGAAGCGATGGCCTCCAACCTAATAGCGTGGGGAATGTCCGGAAAGAGAAGCAGTGAAAAGATGACATGGGACGAGTCGAGTCACCTGAGACGCAGCCGAGTGATTGATGGGTGATTGATAGGATGGAGTTGGCCTCATTGGCTTGGGCGAAACAACCATTCCGACATGGTTTCAATCGTTGACGCGTTTCAATCATGTTGTTCCCCCAAATTGGTCGCAGCCATCCACCACACACACGCACCGCCAAATCCAGGTCGCATCAAAACCGCAAAAACCGGTTCGAAACTTGGGCGCAGGGGCCACTGAGCCAGGTTGGTCTGGAGGAGGATCGGTCGCATCATCACTCTTCAAATATTGTAGGAAGACCTGCAGAGTCTAGGAGCAAAGGGCATCGCTACGAACGGAGCAATGAAGCTACGATCGGGGCTCCTGGCCTTTCTACTAGAGTAACAAGAAGCCATTAGAAACGATAAAATTAGGATTAGGATTTAATTAGAATGGTGTCTTTTGGCAAACAACTCCTATCCGCTTGGGCTGCACGGAGTCGTGTCGGAGGGAGGCTGGACCGGCGTAAGGACGTCACCACAACAAAAACCAGGAAGGATAGCAGTGTTTTCTATGATGTGATGTTTATATATATGGTTCACAGCAAAATGCTGGATGCTGATGGATGTGTTGCTTATCACGAAAAACGTGGTTTGGTATTTGCTTGCACCCAATGGGTGAATCTATGGTATTTGCTTGGCATCTGGTCGTCCGTGTTGAAGTTGCCTGCATCTGGGGATCGCGACCCATGGATTCGTGACGGTGCGTGCGCACACATCCCTTTGCTCCTCCACCCCGAAAGACGGTCCGGTCTGCAAAAGTGTATATGCAAGTACTTAATGATATCTATCTAATCATTCTGCGACAACATGATTCTGTGATGTCGCATGTGCGTGCGCATCACAGATATGATCATCATACGGTCCCATGAAAAAAAAAAGAACCTTCAACCTCTTTACACACCGGTAACTCTTCACAACCGGTGGCCGAATCGATCCGGATCGAACTTCGGAACATCCGAGTTCCGCGCACTGGTCGTCAGTCCGAGTTCGATCACCGGTCGTCAGTGTCCAGACACCACAACCCATGGGACTGCGGACTGCCGCCCCAGACAGACCCCCAGTCAACCACCCCTGGCCGTTTCTCGGCAGTATTGTGGCAGTCCCATGGGTTGTCGTGTCTTGGGGCATGTACCGTTTAAACAATGGTCGAGCTCTGGACTCCCAGGGCATATACCGACATCGGTGCATGTGCCGACATCCGGACAAACTGCACTGCATCTCATGATGTGTTGGGATCTTTTGGGGCATTGAAATAGGGAGACCTCCCAGGGGTTCCGACCTCCCAGGCGTTCCAACCTCCCAGGCGTTCTGGGAAGATCAAAGATCCTGTAAAACCCATTGGTTGGAGTGTCCGTCTCGCCGGTGTCTATAGCCGTCTCCAATACAAACCCATGTCGTAGACGACATGCATCGGTCCTTCCCGGACACACCCGGACACACTCTCCGGTCCTTCCCATCCCGATACATTTTCAACTTGCACAAGAAAAAGTCAGATAAGAAAAGACTTCTCTCACCCTACAAAAAAGCTTCCAACCACCATTGATGAAATGGTCTTTGCGAACACGATGAACATGCCAGTTCAATTAAAGGTAGGAGCCCCTTTCATGCACGGCGCCTGTACGGCGACCCTTGGCACATCAGCCAGCAATGCCACAGCTTCGATGATGGAGTCCTGTTTCAAACGCGGGAAGGTGATGAAGGTGAGAAGTGCCACAGACTTCTCGTGTTGCTCGTTTCGTTCAGTCTCCGAATGTCTCCGATGTGGCTGGTGGAAACAAAGAAAGCGAGCCTGTTTCACAGTGAGCCATCCGCATTCTGTAAATCATGGTAAATAGCTGAGTCAGAAATGGAGTGTGATTCAACCGTGGATCGTAGAAAAACATGTCACGCCTTGGTTCATGCCATGTTGAGCTCCATGAGTTTGCTCCTATGTTTGCGAACCGGTGGTCCTTTAGACGAAGAATCTGGAGACACTTCAGCCGAACATTGCCGAAGCAGATCACAGATGTCGCAGGTAGGTGACTTCAATCAATCCCCAGACACTCCATGGGACTGCCATATATGCCGATCAGTTGGGGTGGTTTTGGGGGTCAATGGGGCGGCAGTCCTATGGCAGTCCCATGGGTCGTCGTGTCTGGGATCAAATCCTTGTTGTTTTGGTCTTCTAGACCCAGACGCTCCCTCCAAAACCTAGGGAATGGTTCGACCCCAGACCCCTCCAGAGGATTCGGGTCCGCCCCCTCCATATGAGGGTCCAGGGTCGCGTCTAGGTCCAGGTAGACCCACTTCTAGACCCTGGAAGATGCCAAATCACTTCAAATCACTCCGGCCCAATTCTCGGCTGTGGCACTCTGGCACTTTGCAGAGTCAGACGTCTGAAGTTCGATTCTCGGATTGTCGGATTCTTGCAGAAGGCATCACCCAAACTGTGACTGATTCGGTGAGGGAGGGTCTGAGCGCTGGATTGCGAATCAGTGGTTGAACATTGGCGCCCACTTCTCCGGGCTACGGGCTACAGGGCCTAAAGCCATGACCCTTCAGAAAACAAAAACCTCATGACGAAGCTCCAAATCCCTTTGGGTCCCCATCCCTTCTCTGTCTTCAACCCAAAGAAGTTCGGCCTTGATTGCCTCGGAGCTGAGAAAGGTTCGCACGTTCGAGACCTCCAACACTTCATACCTTGCACCAGAACCGCAGGCGGCGCATGCTTGTTCTTGCGGCGCATGCGCAGTATCTCTCTCGACGAGGAAGTGTAACACACAGAGAGTTGCATGTAAGACGAACAAAAGGATCTTTCACGATTTCATGAGTTTGGCAGAGGCAAGGAAATACAGAAAAACAAGGCAATACTGTATCTCTGCAGAACCTTTCTGATATCAAAAAAAACTGGCAACCAGAGGAAAAAGGAATCATTCGGAATGATCGTTTTCAGCAGGTTCAAAGCATATAGAGTGCACAAACTCCAAAAGCCAAGATCATTGTATGTCACTTTGAGTCAGCTTGACAACGCGCAGCTTGTGGCGATGGATTCAAGGAGGACGCCTAAAGTCAAGTCATGTGTACAAACACCTTGTTTGCAGCTGTAGTTCAAAGCATGGTCAGTTGCATTCATGTCACGCGGGATGTGTTGATCAATGTTGATCATCATTAGCGCAGCAAACATTTCATGTCTGCGTGCAGGAACATTGTCTAAAGAGCATGTCGACACTACGTAGAGGGTCAGCTAGCTCACACTAGGGAAACATTTAACCCACCATAAACACCATGAGATAGCGATATGTACCATGAACAGCAGGTATCTGATGGACCGTGGCTGGTACATCGTGGTACATCAACTCATCGGCCGCCCATCAGCATCTTCAACACTTCAACTCATTGCAATGATCTGAACTCCAGGGCTGGTCAATTGCTCTTGGAAGACACGGACTAGTGTTGAATAGGCGACGTCCCGGGGTGGTTCCAATCCCACAACGTTCAAACAAAAATCAGTCACTGGTAGAAACACACTGCTGACCATCTGTCCTATTCTCTGACTGGTGCCAGTCGAGAATAAGGAACTGACCGTCCCAATAGTATAGTTTACTATAAAATCATATTGAATCCATTCCCTCCTTCCTGACTAAATCGCACCAGTCACTTCATGAATATTTGTCCACCCCCTGCAAATTAATCCCATGCCTCCTAGTCGCCCCACCACATTGCCACTCGCAGCCGCACCGGTTCCGGTGACGCTGCAGGCGCAAAGCCGCCGGTGGTTCCGGTCCGCGGGCGCCGCGTCGCAGGGCGCGGCGTCATTGCCGAAGAAGCAGGGATCGCCCTGGCGAGGACTTGGTGTCGAGTGCAGGGTGGAGCTTTGTGGAGCTTCGAAGGGTCCGCCCAAATATCCGGAGCTGTCGCTGGTCTGTAAGTTTGTGTTTGTGCTTGGCTTGGGCAAATCATGAGATGCTTTTCTTGAAGCAACACATCATTGTTGTGGTGTGCTTTTCGCTTTTTGATCCGTCCAATCACACGATATCACACGACAATAAAACACTGTAATGAGAGACCATTGCTGGCTTGGCCCATGTTTTCAATATCCACTGCAATCGCACGGAAAAAGGATCAGCTAGTTGGGGGGTAGGGTAGCTTGCACAGTCGTCCTGCACAGGAACAGTTTACTATGTCTAGTTTTCTGAGCGCATATTATCCGAGTACCTATTACAAAACACTCCCCAACTTTCAATCAGGACTCGTGATGGAGACCCTTACATACGGCTTACATTTACTTCGGCGACTTTGGAGCTGCATTTACGTTCCTAAATGACCTGTCCACCCCTGTCCACCCTGATGGTCTACTTGGGTGTCCACCCTGGCTGTCCACCCTGGCTGTCTACCCTGGCTGTTCATTGCTGGTCGTCGCCTCCCTGCAACTCTCGTTTCGGCTGTCTGGCTACTGTCAGGCTGTCTGTCTGGCTGGAAAATGCCCACAGCACCACAACGAGAGCGCAGTCTCGAAGAGCACCTGCGTCCGCTTCGAAGATCTCAAGGTGCTGCTTTGGATCGAACATGAGGTTTCATGATTAAATGTTGAAAGTCTTCACATCTTCGGTTTCTCCTTCATTCCTTCCTTCATTCATGCCTTCATCCATGACCCACTTCCTCGCTGACACTCTCACCCATTTGCGAACTGTCATCTCTGCATTTTGCTTGCTTCCATTTAGAGGAACGGGAGGCTGCGCAAAGACCAGCCTGCTCTCAATTTCTCTGCTGGCGCGCCATGGTCAGCCGTGATCGAAGCCGTTTTCTTTTATATGCATTTTGCCAATTTGCGTCTTTTAGAGACTTGCAACCCGGAATGTGAAGACACATTTCGGCCTCCGACCTTCTTACCATCAAAGGTGCATTCTGCGATTGGCCCGGCAGGCCTCTGCAACAATCCTTTTTGGGAGGTTTGGCTGTGCTCTAGTAGGAAGGCAACGCGTGGTCCCTTATGTTCTCTGGCTATACACACACACATGCTCCAGGTGGTGATGGTGGTGGGGTGATGATGGTGGTGACGATGGTAATGGTGGTAGTGATGGGAGATGCTGGCTATTGTTCACAAACCACGTTTAGAGCGACTTAGCCGAGCGGGCCACACGGTTTTGGACTCCAGGTCTAATTAACAAGCCTTCCTGGCTGAGAGTCATTGGCTGCTCTGCCTGGCTCTCCTGAGCTCCTCTGCGGGCGGCGGGGGTGTGGACTCGAGCTCTGCCAGCATTGCTTCGTGCACGCACGGAGCAACGCAGCCAGAGCTCCAGGAGAAAGATTGTGGGCACACGGGAGCAGAGAAATCCGGGCGCCGGCCACAAAGCCCGTGTCCTTGCCGGAGGCCTTCGGTGGTAACCGAAGGTTATAGACGGTCGCGCCGGCTGCCGCCGACCCTCGTTCCCAAAACGGGGGGACCACCGGTTCACTGATGCCCCTGTAATTTACAGTGTATCGTGTGTGTGAGGTACTGTTGATGGACAAAATCCTGCACCACCTCACCACTTTACCCTGGAAGGGTCGCATAGCAACCCCCGTGCCCCCTCATTCAATGTTGGCGCGACCCCTCTGAGGAGGTGGTGCAGGATTTTGGACCTTCAACTTGTTTTTGTTTTCTCACTGTGGTGGCCACAATGTTAACGAGGGAGAACGAGGGCAGCAAGAAAAGTGTGCGCAAAGTGGTGCAGGATTTTGTCCATCAACAGTCTCGTTTCATTACTACAGTCTCGTTTCAGTAGTATTGCTCTACCAAGCTTGTTGTGTTAGTTTTTTGCGCCTACTTGCTGGCTGATGCCACTTGTTTGCTGCTCCGTTTGTTGTTTGCT